CACCACGCGCAACAGCACACACACACACACACACACACGCACGCAACGCGCACGCACACACACGCACACACCACAGGTGAATATTTGTTCATAAACAGTGATGTGTCTATGTGGTAAAACTGAAGGCGGGGCCGTTTTTGGGTCCCATGTGGTCTCTGAGTGAGAGATACACTGAGGGGACAAATGTTCCATATAAGTTTGATGTAACTTTTTTTCAGCCTCATTCTTCTGTTCTGTCATGTCAGTTAGTCCCTGTTAATTCTTTATCCTTGTTTTTTAATCATGTACAGCATATAACATGGGAACCTGCGGAGTATAATAGCTAACATCACATGGAGTCTGTTAAGTGAGGAGAAGGTATGAGCAGCATCAAAACTTATTGATCTATCAACCTTATTGATTCCAATATTAATTTTATATACAATTTTGGACTTTTTTTTCTCATTAAACTTTTTACTTAGACTTGAAACACAGGTTATACATAATGCTCTTACAAGAGGAGATGTATATGTTTATCTGCCCTCAACGCGTACTCTCCCACATTACTTCAACCCTCCCTTTCACCCGACACCCTCTGTACTCGGTGCGTGTCCCTATTACATTTTTGACCACAAAACCCACACACATACATCCACCCAACTAAAAATTTAAATATATATTAAAAAAACTGGGCTGCATACATGTACACATATAGCTAAATCTCCTAACACCAAAACACAAAAAAGTACTCTAACCAGAACTAGTGGGAGCAGAGCATCGGGGGAGCTTTTTGGTTAAATTACCCAATATCTTGTCTAAAGGTTACTACATAGTTTATCCAAGCTTTTCCAACATCTTTCAAAACTTGTTTTGTTTCAAGTATAAGAATAAACGTTAGCTTCTCCATTAATAAAAAATATTCCTTGAACCACACATTGACCCCAGTCCTCGACTGAAGGCAGTATCTGCTGTAACCATTTCCTCCTGATTGCTTTCTTGCTCGCTAATAATAAAAATATTGTACATACATTTATTTCTATCAAATCCCTTCCACATGTGACCTAGTCTATTACATCCTACAATAACTAAAGTCTCTCAAAACTTTCACGGATTGTTCTTTTCAAAAACTCTTTCACGGCCATTTTAATTTTCTCTTATATTTTTAAAGGGGTGGACAGTCCACACACAAATGAATAATTATTTGCTTTACTCGCAGCACAGAGACCTCAGCGTGCTGTGGTCTCTTCTCTCTCTTTCTAAGGAACTCCTTTGTGCTGGTGTTTTGAAGAATGTTACTATAATTTTCCACCCAAACTCCCTCCAAGACAAGGCTGATGTACTCTTCCATTGTTGTAAATTTTTCCCACAAACTCCAACTGCATGATATTACCCTCCTTTTCCCCCATTTCTCCTTATATATGTTGTATCTCTCCTTTTAACTCCTTGTAACCCATTATACCAACTTTGATATATTTTGTGACCAGGGTCCAAATGATACACCTAATTAAATAATCCTCAATATGCCTGAATTAATTTTGTCCAAGTCATTCTATTGTTTCTCCAAAGCAACTTAAGTTTGCAAAAACCTATAAAAAGTTCATTTGTGAATAACCACTGGTTTTTAAGGTGACCTTTTAACAGATTCGCTCCTTTTAATGTGTTATAAAATGCTTGCAATGGAATGTCGCTTGATATCTGGCCATTTAACTTTTCACTTGTTAAATATTAAGATCCGGTTGTAATTGATGAACTGACCAAGGTTTTTGTCTGTTACGTGCCATTGACGTATCTGGAGCGGCATAAGCACAGTAATTTTTTTGATTTGGAAGGAGACGAACTTGTGTCTAGTATATGTCTGAGACTCTATATGCACGTGTGAAGATGACTACCTCTCAGTTTGTGTATGTCTGACATGAGACTCCCAGAATAATGTATAATTCACCAATCTTGGGTATACATAATTCGGTGTTACTCATGCTGAATGAATAGACGTGCGTATGGGGGAACATACGGTTATATGTACATAACACATAAAGCAGACTATGGTGTGACCTAGCACAAACTGCAATTAGCGAGTTGCAGAATGACAATCGCACACACACGAGGCTAGTCCTACACCTTATACAGGAAACGCTGTCCAGCACCCTTATTCCTCACATGTGGAGTCTGGTGAAGAACCTAGACTAATACCATCGAGATCCACCTGATAACCCAGACTAACAACGTCAAGACTAAAGATCTCATCCGATTCATAGTTAAAACCATATATTATGAAGTGAGACGTGAGAACTTTTTTCCCATTAATATTTAGAAAGCATAAGAGATAAATCTTAGTTAGATGCGGTCTCACTAAGTTCCATAAATGTTATCAATGGATATTGAACTCCACCTTCTAACTCTAAGGCAACAAATTTTAGGCGCAACCCAGACTAAGGTATATTACAATTTGATCAAATGTCTGCTTTTGTTGCTATGAGAATTCTGTTCATCTCTATGTTGTACCCTGACGACTTGGTCTCTCAAGAAGGAGTTATTATTACTCGTTAATATCTAGCGTCAATTTATGGGTGCATCACTCGTTAGTTGCATATAGAGAATTCCTTTTAAAATGTTACGTAACTCAACTTAGAACTAGTCCGGTCATATACAACATGTTTAATCTACCAACATAGGAATTACCATCTCCATGTTGATAATAACTTTTAGAATCTCAGTATGTATATTGCAAGTCACCTGTATGGGAAAATTCATAGTAAGTTCAAAGGCGTTATAATCTGACAACTTGTGTGAGTAACCATAAGATAAGTAATTACATCAAATATGCAAGGGTAATAATAATTTTCGTCTCATTTTTGACTCTCCTGTCTTAGAAATAAATCAGTTTGCTTAAGCTCATGCAGCCAGGTCTGTTTAATTTCATATTAGATCCTCAATTTATAGTTTCCTTATAATCGCGATTCCAAGGAAGCGTGGTCATACAGTCGGAAACATACATCGCGCATGAGTGGGAGAGATTGTGGAAGGAGCCAGCCCGCCTATGGTATGATACCACAAAGCGCTACAATAGAAAATGAATTAATAGGAAATTTCTCAAAAACGTATATTTTGACTGAATAAATCCCTATAAATTATCCTGACCTCAGCTTGCTAAGACTGAGTTTATGTTTTCATGTTTTGGGGTACATGTAGTCTTACTCAAGCAGATGAAAAGTACATATCCAGAAATATCAAAAGTGCAATAAGCAATTGTTTAATATTAAGCAATCGATCATAATTAAACAGAGAAATGGGTCCATAAATGGTCATTCCACAAATGACCTTCTCACCGTATGCGTGTCTATATCACGCTAAGCCAACAAGGACGGTGGCATGGGCTCTCTAATTATATAAAGTATTAGTTCATTCTGAATAAAATGTGATGACATACACTGTGTGAACGTGATGTGAGGATTTATGCAGGCATTGGAAAAGCTACTACTGCTTTTTGCGCTGGCCGGGAATGTGCTCAATAACAATGATCAATAAGAACCTAGTATTGTCATCGAGATGTTCTATGCAGTTTGTTGGTGCAGAGGCAGTCAAGTGTGATATGGGCTACAGCATTTCTGTCTTGCTCTTTTTGATCTGAACAATGGTCTGCTCAAAATGTACCTGCAAAGTAGATAAGTTTACTGTCTACCCACATAAATATCCCATAGTGGTTCGAACGCACAGTATTAGGAACAATTTATACTTACTGCACATTGTAACACTATTACATTATTACTTCATAGGAATTCATTTAAAATCATCATGAAATTTCCTCTTGTCAAAACATACTTGACAAATACAGAACTCACTAACTAACTATGCAGTCACTGATAGTTCACTTCTCATACTTTGTTCAGCAGCAAAAAACGCTTGTACAAACAAAGCATATTTCTACCAGTCCACTCACTTCATTTATAGGACAGTTAACACCAGCAGATTTCCCAAGTAGATTCGTCCTGGACCCACACAGGTTATCTCTGTATATGGGTCACCAGGCTTTCTAATTCAAACTGGATGTGATATGCGCATGAACTAGAGACTGAAGACAACGCTGAGCAGGAGAGATCATAATATGTAGTGATGCATCCCCACACAAAATAACAGCACCCAATGTCGACCAACCTGAAACACAACACAGAGACACACAGGCAGCCCCTTTCCATCCATCTATCAATAAGAAAGCAGGAAGCAGAAAGAGGAGTCTGATTACTGACCTGCTGCATGTATATGTGGATTTATAGTGACAAAAGGTTACTTCAGTGCATGAAACACTTCTCTGTTGTTTTCTTGGAAGTTTCTTCACACTCCTCATTACAACGTGTAAAAAAAAAAAAAGTAAAGAACCATGATAATGAGCCTGTGCCTCTGCCAATCAGCCAAATCAGCGAGTCAGTATCACTATCCTTGGTACTCAGTGACTGTGATGCTGCATAAAGAGGCGAGAGGAACGAATGGAATGGGTACACGCATGCTGCACCCACTAAGAAGACATAGAACGAGAGCGGCTACGGCTCACGATTTTCTGCTGTTATAACGCACCCAAGAATGCGAGGCATATAAGCCTTGTTAAATACCTGTCTAAGAGAATCCTCCGAACGTATGATACCTAACACACACATTCAGCACCCAAGAAAGCAGACTCCGCACAGAGAGAGAGACTCCCACTCGTGTGCGTGAGTATGCCTCCCTCATCATGTGACTATCTTGCTCAGACCTCCTCGTGCTTCTCACCAAGACAAACAAATCGTATTACTATCAAGAACAGACTGGAACTCTAAACAGAAGTTATGATCCGCGACCCTTGCTATAAAAAGCACTTCACAACCTCATGCTCTAAGTGATTGCTCTGAGAGGTGGAAGGTAATGGAAAGAATGTCATAAGTTGCTCGACTGGTGAATATCGTTCCGATACAGTGTGGCAGGACGAGTTTCTGCCGAAGGCCCTCCGTAGGAGATCGCGGATCAGTGGCTAGCAATTGGTCCCTCGCTCTCTTCTCGTGCCTTCAAACACAAACAACTCATGACGCGCTCGTACAAAACAATGGAAAAGCAACACACAACAGAAGAATGACGACGCTGAGAAAAATACGAGGTGAAGAAGACTGAAAGAAAAACTACAACAACCAAAGTAAAGCTATGCCTGTAGAGGAATCGCTCAACTCACGGTAACATCGGGTGCTCATTCGAACTCTCGTCGTGCGGCGTGCAATGGTTGGGGAACATGTGACATGTGACCTATCCAGCTTCCACCTGGAATTAGCGAGTAAACGCAGTGTGTAAGTACCGCCTCGTGTTCGAAGCGTGAGACACGCGATAGTTTAAAGGTTAGAATAGGTAGTTGTGACTCGACGAAAGCTTCCTCCGATCTGTGTGCTGAAATTATACATTAAAGATAACCTCTGCCCTACGTGTTTAGTCCTGTGAGCTTGAATTGTGAAACTTGTTGAACGGAGATCTGGCAGCAGGACTTACTCTGTTCGGCGGTGACAGGTGACAAGGCGCGGACCCGGCAGCGTGTGCGTTAGTGAACAACGAAGCCCCGGGATGACGAATGCCCCCCCCCCCCCGGTTGACTGTCAGCTATCAGTTATTATTATCAGTACTTCACACTGTGTTATTTATATTCCAGCTCAGGAGCGTGTCTCACCTCCCGGGGCTTCGTTCGTTCACTACGCACACGCTGCCGGGCCGCGCTGTCACCTGTCACCCGCCGAACAGAGTAAGTCCTGCTGCCAGACTCCGTTCACAAGTTTCACAATTCAAGGCTCAACAGACTAAACACGTTTTATACTGATTTACAAAGTGTTGGGAGCTTCTCCACTTACAACAACATTGCATTTAAACTACCGGTCACGTGGTTCACACCGATTCACTGCGTCACGTATTTCAGGTGAAGCTGATAGGTCACATTCACATTTCCACCATCCGCAGAGACACAGTGAAGACAAACGAGTCCGGAGTGGAATTCAACAGTGAGTCCTTGTGTGTGTGTTCAGTGTCTGACCTCAGGTTTTCTGTGTCAGTGGTTTGAGAGCAGAGTTGGTGGAGACAGGTGGAGGAGGAACATCCAACTGACCACTCCAAGGCTGGAGAACCTCACCCCTGTGCAGATAAGGTAACCCACAGCTCTCCTCCTCCTCCAAGCATCACTACAGGTGTGGATGTTTAAAGTGTAACTGTGTGTCTCTGTTGAAGTGAGCTGTCTGAAGCAGCGTACGAGAAGCTGGCAGACGAGACTCTGGATGCTCTGGCTGATTACTTCGAGGACCTTACAGATGAAGCTTTCACTGGAGCTGACTACGACGTCGTCTTCTCTGTGAGTCCGTCTCTGTTCACTGTCTCTGTGCAGCACAGGTACAGGATAGTGATACTGACTCGTGATTGGCTGATGGGCAGAAGGCAACAGGCTCATTATCATGGTTCTTACTTTTTTACACGTTGGTAATGAGGAGTGTGAAGAACTCCAAAAACAACAGAGAAGTGTTTCATGCACTGAAGTAACCTTGTCACTATAAATCCACATATACATGCAGCAGGTCAGTAATCAGACTCCTCTTCTGCTCCTGGTTTCTTATTGGATAGATGGATGGAAAGAGGCTGCCTGTGTGTCTCTGTGTTGGTTTCAGTTGGTCGACATTGGGTGCTGTTATTTGAAATGTGGGGATGCATCACTACATATTATGATCTCTCCTGCTCAGCATTGTCTTCAGTCTCTGTTCTGCGCATATCACATCAGTTGATTAGAAACCTGGTGACCCATATACAGAGATACCTGTGTGGTCCAGGACGAATCTACTTGGGAAATCAGGTTTCTCAAATCCTCTACCCTGATTATGGAAAGTGTGTCTGTCATTTACACAACGCTTAAGAAATCATATCGATGGAGAGAGCGACTGTAACCTGCTCACTGATACACAGTGTGGTCAGCATGAGCTAGAGTAGCTGCAATGGATTCAAAGTGACAAGTCTGAGACCACTCAGACCTCTCCTTCACCCATGTCCTCAGTGTGTTCCATAACAGCCACTTTGACAGAAGGATAAATACACAGCTTCAGTGTTGTAGTGTTGGGCTCCTCTGAGTCCTGAAGCTCTGCTGGTGTTAACTGTCCTATAAATGAAGTGAGTGGACTGGTAGAAATAGCTTGTTTGTCACAGCGTTTTTGCTGCTGAACAAAGTATGAGAAGTGAACTATCAGTGACTGATAGTTAGTTAGTTAGTGAGTTCTGTATTTGTCAAGTATGTTTTGACAAGGAGGAAATTTCATGATGATTTTAAATGAATTCCTATGAAGTAATAATGTAAATAGTGTATACATGTGCAGTAAGTATAATGTGTTCCCTAATACTGTGCGTTCAACCACTATGGGATATTTATGTGGGTAGACAGTAAACTTATGTAACTTGCAGGTACATTTTGAGGCAGACCAGTTTGTTCAGATCAAAAAGAGCAAGACTGAGAGCAGATGCTGCTCCCACCAGAAACACTGAAACGCTGTTAGGCGGACGTTGCATGTAATTAACCACATAAACAAAACTAATATAGAAGAGGTCTTGCTGGGGTTAGACGCAGAGAAGGTGTTTGACTCTGTTGATTGGTGTTTTTTATTCAAGGTATTGTACGGATTCTGATAGCACTGGACTACAAACCAACAGCTAAAGTATGGATTAATGGTGGATTATCATATACTTTAGAATTATAAAGGGGATGCTGACAGGGCTGCCCCATTTCCCCACTCCTATTTGCGATATTGATCGAACCCTTGAGTCAGTGGATAAGACAAAATGAGAAGATACATGGAATTACTATGTTTCTAGAGGAGCAAAAAATAGCCGATATTTTGATATACTTGGGGTGTCCATCTGTTTCCTTACCAGAATTGCTTACAACTCTTAACAGAATACGGATTATTATCAGGTTATAAACTAAAGACCCACAAGTCCCAAATTCTGACATTCAATTAGCCCCCTAGCAGTTCAGTCAAAGTTGAATTTAAAGTGAGTTGGAATTGGATTCAATGAAATTTATTGTGCCTAAAATTATGTGCCTGCGGAAGGAGGCGGCAACCTGATTTGAGTGCAGACATCATTAGTTCTTCTAATATGGGGAAAAAAAGTTCATTCAAGTTACTGACGAGATACGGTTAATTTGTCAGGACTGAAAGTAGGCCTAGTCCTCAGCCACAAGTGGAAGGTGCTGGTGGAAGGTGACACCCCCCTGGTTGTGGCTTAGTACCACCCCCGCCTACTTTTCGGCCAGGAAAAACCCTGAATAGACAAATTGATATCACGATTCATTTGGCAGGGAAAAAGGCTGAGGATTAGGTTTAAGACTTTTCAGCTAGCTAAGGATAAAGGTGGCGTCTCCCTTCCAAATATCAAAAATTATTACCAGGCAGTACAGACAAAAACCTTGGTCAGCATATACAACCGATCTTATAAAGCAAGGTGGAAAAAGGTAGAATGCCAGATATCAAGCGACATTCCATTGCAAGCATTATAACCATTTAAAGGAGGCGAATCTGTGGATAAAGACGTCACCTTAAAAACCAGTTTGGATTCACAAATGACTTTTATAGGTTTTTGCAACTTAGTTGCTTGGAGAAAACAATAAGAATGGACTTGGACAAAATTAATTCAGGCATATTGAGGATATTCTTATTAGGGTATCATTTGGACCCTGGTCACAGAAATATATCAAAGTTGTATAATGGGTTACAAGAGTTAAAAGGAGAAGATACAACATATATAAAGGAGAAATGGGAAAAGGAGGGTAATATCAATGCAGTTGGAGTTGTGGGAAAAATTTACAACAATGGAAGAGTACATCAGCCTTGTCTTGGAGGGAGTTTGGGTGGAAAATTATAGTAACATTCTTCAAAACACCAGCACAAAGGAGTTCCTTAGAGAAGAGAGAGAAGAGACACAGCACGCTGAGGTCCTGTGCTGCGAGTAAAGCAAATAATTTTCATTTGTTGTGGGACTGTCCAGCCCTTTAAAATATAGAGAGAAAATTAAAATGGCCGTGGAAAGAGTTTTGAAAAAAGCAATCCTGTAAAGTTTTGAGACTTTGTATTTAGGTGTAAGACTGGTCACAGTGAAGGGATTTGAAAATAAATGTATGTACAATATTTTATTATTAGCGAGCAAGAAAGCAATCAGGAGGAAATGGTTGACAGCAGATACTCCTTCAGTCGAGGACTGGGTCAATGTGGTTCAGGATATTTTTTATAATGGAGAAGCTAACGTTTATTCTTATACTTGAACAAAACAAGTTTGAAAGATGTTGGAAAGCTTGGATAAACTATGTAGTAACCTTTAGACAAGATATTGGGTAATTTAACACAAAAGCTCCCCCGATGCTCTGCTCCACTAGTTCTGTTTAGACTCTTTTTTGTGTTTTGGTGTTAGGGATTCTAGCTTATATGTGTACATGTATGCAGCCAGTTTTTTAATTATATTTAATTTTTAGTTGGTGGATGTATGTGTGTGGGTTTTGTGGTCAAAAATGTATAGGCACACACCCGAGTACAGAGGTGTGTGGGTAAAGGGAGGGTTGAAGTATGTGGGAGGGTACGCGTGAGGGCAGATAAACATATACATCTCCTCTTGTTAAGAGCATTATGTATAACCTGTGTTTCAAGTCTAAGTAAAAGTTTAATGAGAAAAAAAGTCACAAATTGATATAAAATAATATTGGATCAATAAGGTTGATAGATCAATAAGTTTGATGCTGCTCATACCTTCTCCTCACTTAACAGACTCCATGTGATGTGAGCTATTATCACCCAGGTTCCATGTTATATGCTGTACATGATTAAAACAAGGATAAGATATAACAGGGACTACTGACATGACAGAACAGAAGATGAGGCTGAAAAAAGTTACATCAAACTTATAGTGGAAACATTTGTCCCCTCAGTGTATCTCTCACTCAGAGACCACATGGACCAAAAACGGCCCCGCCTTCAGTTTTACACATAGACACATCACTGTTATGAACAATATCACCTGTGTGTGTGCGTGTGTGTGCGTGCGCGTGCGTGCGTGTGTGTGTGTGTGTGTGTGCGCGTGTGTGCGCGTTTCCGGCCTCTGGGAAGTCCACACCACAGATCATATGACTGTCTCAAGACTGTTGTGTGTCTTTTTTGGCTGCACTACATCTGCAAATGTCCGTGACTGTCTGAGTGATGACGTGACAACATTAGTCGGCCAAGTGTTGGACTTTTCCCATTGGCTGTTGTGTTCAACTACTGTATCTTCTCAGATAGTGGGCGGGGCCTTTATTTACCTCACCTACAAAAGTAACAGGTCTTTATTTCTAACTCCTCATTTCATATGTAGAACTGGGCATACCAGTATTTTATTAAGATGCCTCATTTTCCGCTCCTGTTTGTTAGTTACCTGTTAACACTTTCAAATTAAAAGTCCTATTGCATTTCGGTGGACAGAAACCCTTTATTTCCTGACAGGGCTTTTGCTGTGCTGTTGTGCTGCAGTAAGAGTATTGTCTCTGTTCTGGGGGGTTGTTTATTCTTTCATCCGTCTCGCCTGTAACATCTTCCTCCTCCCTGTCAGTTGTCCATGAGGCTGATTAATAAAGCAGCCAGTCGTGTGTGTCTTTTTTTTTTATTCATTGCGTTGGAGAACAGCTGTCTCTGCTGTCTGACTGATGGGCCAGTGTTCCAGTCTTGGCAGCTGACCCCCTTTTTCAACTGGCTGCACTGGCATATGGGGCCATAAGCAACACACACACACACACACACACACACACACACACACACACACACACACACACACACACACTCTGCAGAACGCAGAGAGCTGTGACACTGCATAAATCTGCAGGTAAATCTTTCTGGAATAATCAGCAGTCAGCTCTACACTCTTGTTTCAAACTTAATCCATCGTCCTGTTACAGAGGTTTCAGTGAGCCACACGATAACATGCTCAACAGTCTTCTCCCCCTATAATCACAGTGAGTTCTACATTTCTCTTTGTGTATCGATGAAACAAATGAGACACAACCTGTTCATCACTGAGCTGTAGAAGGGTTGGTAGGTGTAGAGTATTTAGCTGTTCCCAGTCATGTCCCGACTCCTGCTCTGCGCTGGAACTGGAAATCATGGAACTGCTCCACGGCATATCTGACAGTGAAGGAAAAAATATATGTAACAAATCATTTGGTGTGAAATGGACAGAACTTAAATGATAGCAGTGTGTGAAGATCACTGCTGTTGATGATTGTGTGCCTTGGAGGTGTTTTGTTCCATTACAGTAGTTGTTGAACTGGTTTATTAAATGTGTGTGTTCTGTCTTTGGTCCATGCACAGAGTGGAGTGTTGACTGTGAAGGTGGGCGGGAACCACGGCACCTATGTCATCAACAAACAGACACCAAACAAACAGATCTGGCTTTCTTCTCCCACCAGGTAAGACCGACTCCACCCCTGACCCCACCCCCTGATGCTTTTGAGGAAAATGAACACATGACCCAGTTGTCTTTCACACACGTCACACCATCACAGAGTGGTTCTCGGGCACCACCCTCAGCTCCTCTCTTAACAGTAACATCTGTCTGCAGCTGCCTGCTCTCCACTGCACTGCTGTGGTTACACACAGAGCTGTCCAGACAGCTGTTGGTCTCTGCTCTGTGTCCAGACAGCTGGGACAACAGCTGAGTGTGGGTGGACATTTTAATGTCACAGTGATGGTGATGAAGGTGTAAAACTCTCACTGTTTGAAATGCTCCACGGTACAGTGGTCTCTGATGTTCAACAGGAACATGCTCACGCCATCTTTTATTACAGTGATGTTCACCATTCACAGTAAATGTTGTAATTATCATCGCCCTAAAATGGTTTTTCAATAACATGTTTCATTCATTTTTGTCTCTACACATTACAGACAACATTTAAGTGAGATATGACTTTATATTGAGACAACCAGTCATATACATATCGACCAATGGAGAATCCGCACACAAATTTGGAGGTGACATGTGACTTTCGACCAATCATATTCACAAACTGGAGAGACTGGGTGTGTCCAGTAATGCTCGTGGGTGACGGTGTAAGTGTATCTATGGTGCAGTAGACAAGTTAGAGGAGCTCTTGCCTGTTTACTGTAGTGTATGTACTTTAAAACCCTTATATCACAAAATGATATCAATATTTAATCAAAACATCAAATCAAAGTTAAAATAAAGACATAGATGTGAAACCATCACTATTAGAACTCATGAACGAAGTCCTCAGCCTCATGGAAATAAACTTTTTTTTCTGAGAGATCTGAAACATCAGCCTGTCAGTGAATTTCCTCTGCTGTCTTGTTTGCAGTGGACCGAAGCGCTATGACTGGACAGGTGAAAACTGGGTGTACATTCACGATGGTATTAGCCTCCACCACCTGCTCTCCAAAGAGTTCTCCATCATCTACAATAAGAAAATGGACCTCTGTGATCTGCCCTACTCTTGAGAGCTTCACCTGGAATCACCTGTCTGTAGTAAATCTATTGTGAGTCACTGAACAACTGTTCGATCACATTGGAGCCAAAGACACAAAGTATTTAGTGTATGTACAACTCCACAGTACTTTACCAGCATCAGCCCATAATGACAGTCATCTGCGTGTGAGCTGCTCTGTTGTTATCTGTATCCTCTCTAGTAGTAAAAATCTATTTCATGACAATGTCACAGTTTCACGAAACCCGTGTGGGATTCATCCACATTCAGTCTCCATGTAAACTCCTCAGTGTCCCTCACCGTTTCCATGGCAATCGGTGTTTTCACATCTGACCGACACTGTTGTTGAGAAGTTGACAACACCGTAGCCCCAACAACACTCCATTCTCTCAACAGTGCTGGAAACCTGTCAGATGTCGGCTGACAGACAGTTCGTCCCCATGTTAGTGATTTGTATTTATTTTATTTGAGTCGCCATGTAAATGTAAATAACATAGTGTTACTGTTTGATGCATTTGACCTGAGTTGGCTTCAAGCTCATTTTCATCTGCAGCGACAGAACAGCACTCATCAAACATAATACACAGCAGTAGGTCACACAAGCACACACACACACTCCACGTGCGTTAGTCAAATTAAAATCAGGAACGTTTGTACACAGAGCAGATTATTCAGCACAGAGCACACTGATTGCTGTTCATATACAGCGCCCTGAAAGACAACAGTGCAAATTGTTAACACAGCTACTCAGTCAAATGTAGAGTTCAGAAATAAGAACATGACTGTCACATGCTTCATGTAAATATAAAGATCCATCATCAACTCTCCTCCGATATCAAGTCTACATTTGATTAGCTCTGCCAGGTTGTAGGGTCCCTGTTAAAGTGGAGAGATTTGGTCGAAAGATGAAGTGATTGTAATGGAAACCTCATGTTGAGATCTGCAGCTTCTAGAAGAAAAATAAGTTTTTCTACCAGACTCATGAACAGACGCAGGAACAGTGTTGTGTTTCCTCTCTGATCTCCTTAAACAATCTGGGTCCCTCTTTGTAAGTTTATTAATATTTTTAAGAATCATTTTCCTTCTGCCTTGTCCATTATATGAGTATTCAATAAAAGAATTCAATCCAACCTTTTCATTGTCAAATGCAGTTTGCTTGGACTAAAAAAGTTTTAGTCATTCGTTCTGGTTTATCAGTAAATATCTGGTCTAGTTTTGTATTTGAAACATTTTCTGAACTGATTCCAGTGATATTTGCCTGTAATTATATTTTCTCTTTAACTTATTATCCCAATTCAAATTAAAATCACCCAGAAGAATTTATTATTGGTTGTAATTACACTCTTAGGATTTCTGTGAGTTGATGAAGTGGGTCTGAGTAAAACATGTTCTTGTGTTTTGAAGGCAACATGTTACATTTTTTTTATTTGCCACATAAACACTGTAATGATCCAATTAGTCATTCTCTTTAATTCGTTTAATGTCAAGTCATTCAGTTAATGTTAAAGTTCTTTAGTTCATCATTGACAGAATACTGATTGTGTCAGAATATGTGTGTGTGTAAGTGTGTGTGTATATATCACATTACCAGAAAGTTGGGGTATCCCTTCCCCCCTCCTGTGCTGTAGTCAGACTGGGACAAACGAAAGAATGAATTTATGTGAGGATTAAAAACACAGACAGCACTGCACTGCAGTCATTACATGCATTACAAATAGTCAAGGATGAAACCACATTAAGCCTGAAGCATTATTTCCATTGTGGTTCTCTAGAGGGTGCTATAGAAAAAAAATATTGTGATACAAATAGCTACTATTCCCAGATAGTGATGGCTAGAAACATGGTTCCACCTTTTAAATGACAAGCACAGGCCACATTAGCTTGTAAAGCTTGTTGATTAAAACTGGACAAATAGTCGATTTTAATGCTTCTGACAACCACAACTCATACACATGCACTACTAGTTCTGTCATTTTTCATGCGACCTACTGAGGTCAACACTATGAATGTTTTCCAGGAGAGACTGTCTGAACATGGGAGAAGTTATCTCCACATTTAAACCATATCGCCCCTCTCTATGACGGCCGTCTGTTCACTTCACCTTTTGATTTCTGATACAGTCAGGCAGCATGTTGTATGAACTTCTTTTCTAGTATCTCCACACTTTAATTTTATGCTTCTCTACAGGACACTATGCTTCCTGTGTTTAATAGGTTAGACGCAAAATCAAACCTCATTTTTGGGGACACTGGACTTTGTCTTTGGCATCCCCTTTTTTGACACCATCAGTACGAATTTACAAAACAAAGCACATCTGCTCACCTGCTGTACTTCTTTAACTTTTTAGGTGCTGTTGTGTTACATGAATATTTCCAGTTTGCCTAAACTGACTCCTCATTTCAAAGGGAGATCCTGTAGTTTTGCTACATGTGTCATACAGCTGCAGTGACTTTGCACATACATATGAAACATCAAATGAGCTGATGAAATATGATGTTTTTGCAATTAAGCATCACAGGTACCAGCTAACACGTGAAAGTATGTGCAGGAATGTTTCAGCATAAATAATTGAACAACTAAAAGACTCTTTTCAGTCAAGTTTTATAAAATCACTGTCACATAATGTGAAGTTCTTCTTCTTCTTAATCCATTATACTTTGTGTATTACTTTCTTCTGAAGATTTTTTTTTAAATATCATGGGCGGATCATGAATCTGGCTTCTCTGTTTTGATCTTTCTGCATAATCAGTCTCTGACCACTAGGCAGCAGTGTCCCCTTACAGAGCTCTGTGATCAGCTGATCCTGTCTACTGCTCCTGGGTCAGACAAAGTGGAGGCTGCTGGGAACAAGGGGATTCACAGTCTCCACCAATCAGATCAGACTCAGTCAGAATCAGACTCTGAGATATCTGAGAATGTCTCTCAGTTTGTATCAATAACCTTATGATACTATGTAGGTTATAGATAACCTGGTGTATCAATACAACAGGTTATCGATAGGTTATCGATAACCTGGTGAACACACCAGCAGGCTCCTCCCACATGACATCACATACTCAGTTTCCCAGGGATCAGTGGTGCTGTCCGGAGTTGATGACAGATGAACCGGGTCACAGAAGCTTATGACATAACCATGATACACCCCACACTGCCTCATCATCGTGTGTGTGTGTGTGTGTGTGTGTGTGTGTGTTACAATGCATCCATTTGTACATAAGCTTATTACAGTAATATCCCTTTTTCATTAATCTGGAGGAATGATAGAACTGAGCTCCTGATGTCTCTTGCTCCATCATACATGATGCTGACACCATCCAGGACAGTACACTTTCACAGAGCACTATGTTACCATGATGTAGTTAAGCTCTGCTCCTCTTGTTCTTGTATGTTCATGAAAACAAGTCAAACAAAACAACTTTTTAAGTTATTTTTTGGACATTTGATATGTGAATTTTTTTATCTATTTTTTTTTTTTATTTGATGGGACAGTGGAGATTGACAGGAAATGCAGGGATAGGGTGTAGGGAAATGACACGCAGTGAAGAGTCAAACTGGGGACTTGCTTCTCAGGTGATCTGTGCCCACATGGACTGCACCCCAACCACTCAGCTATCAGGTCACCCCAAAAGAAGTCATTTTTTGAATAAACATGAATTTTGCACTTCCAGTGGAAACATTATCAAACTGTGTAGATGGTAAACTCACCACTGTTAACAACAGTTGTATCTTCGCATTGACTGCTTAAGCCATCTAACTTCTGTGGTTCTGTAACTCCGTCGTGCTACTTTTACCTTTGCCTTTTAAAGAAAACAGTCGAGGTTGGGTGTCATGGGAACAGAGGTTGGTTTCAGGTTCAAACTCAATGCTGTTGTCTTCATGGTGGCTTGATGTTCACGCAGAGAGGTTTGAATCCCCACCAGGCAGAGAGCATGTTTAATACAAACAGTGTGACTCATTATCTGAGTTGTCACGGCACATGTCATGTCAGTTTGGCCAGTGGATGTCTGGATATCTTTGTTTGGAAATGTTTGTTTATTTTGTTGTGATGGGATCACAGCAGCTGTGACACCTGCTGACGTTGAGAGCAGGTGTGAGGAGAGGAGGTGAGAGAAGAAGAAGAGATGAGTCTTCAAGACATTCTTTAAGATAGAGAGAGATGCCCCTGCGACAGCATTCAGCTTCTCCACCAACAGGAAACCCCAGAACCAGAACTGTCCGGACACTACATTATCACTACATTACACTGCCACAGTACTCAGTAGTCATTACTACATGAGACCTCTGTACTAATGAGTCAGAACACACCCATCTTCAAAACTCTTTATTTTGATCTCAACTACACACCTGTAAAGTTTGTGATTGTATCTTGGAGGTTGTGACGTTGTCCTGGTGAAAAAATCTATCCAGAACAGGCAGACTGACAGAGAGACACTCGCTCAAAACAAAACAAGTACTCAAAAGCACCTCTCTGTTAGTTCGCACTATGGTAGGTGTCTCCAGGACCACTTTTTGCTATGATGACAGACAACACACACACACACACACACACACACACACACACACACACACACACACACACACACACACACAGACTCACAGACTCACAAGGTGAAAACAATACAGCCCTGCTGTTGCGGCTGGTAAAAAAAGGGGGATGTAGCGGATTACCACTTTAAGCACCCAGAGGCTTAGTGCCACTATTATCCTCCTACAGTGGGATTTTCTGTTTGAATTATATAACAGTGATGCTTCAACACAAATCAGACCTCGGCTGTTTTGTCTTTTGGCTTTTTTCCACTGCTGCTCCATCTCCTCTGTTCAGTGCTCGGCTTCCAGACAATGAGCTCGACTCCTCAGCGGGGCAAGCACAAACACCTAGTGACAAAAAGGGTGGACCTACTGTGGGGCTGAAGAGTTGAAGAGTTGTCATGGCAACCGATTGTCATGTGTTGCTATGATGCTAGAGCCTTGCTGAGCAGCAACATGAAGTATAAGAAGTTCATCACCATCATGCAGGCAGCTCTCGGAGTCGCCCCCCTCAACAAGAGAGAGTTGATCCCTCCGCCACGTAAACTGTGGAAACCTGCACGGTGAGTTGTTGTTGTTGTTGTTGTGTGTGTGTCTGTGTGTACATATGTGTTGTGTGTGGGTATATTTCCATTGAGTATGTGTGTGAGTGCAGAGTGGGTGGTCATGAAGTCAATGTGACAGAGTCTGCTTCTCTGTCTGTCTGTCTGTCTGTCTGTCTGTCTGTCTGTCTGTCTGTCTGTCTGTCTGTGGACAGATTTTGTCACCAAGATTCAAGACACAGTCACTAATCTTTACAGATCTGTAGTTCAGAATGTCACAATGAACTTTATTGTCATTCAGAGCATACAACAGAAGTGCACAGCAGAACCAAAGTGTGTATTCCCCTGGCTCATAGTGCAGTCATATATAAAAAAATGAAAATGTATAAATATAAAATATAAATATACATGAATAGACAGAGTGGACATAATAGTAGACTAGGACATAACAAGTAGTGCAACTGCAACAGCAGTTAAAAATGCAATAACAGCAGTTAGAAATATAGTAAGAGTAGATAATAAGTACAGTTGTGGGAGCGGAATACATACATTCAGTCAGTCTCTGTTTGTGCTTATAGTGTGATTGATTGTGCATGCATGTCTGTGTATTTTTTAATTTATTTTTTAGAGGGAATTGAAGAGTCTGGCGGCCTGTGGGAAGAAACTTCTGCAGATGCGGTCTTGCATGTTGCAGTTAGCATTTGCCAGAGGGCAGAAGGGTAAAAAGTCCATGTGCAGGGTGGGTGGAATCTCTGGTTATTTTGGTGGCTCTGCTCGGACAGCATGTCAGGAACAGATCCTGTATAGATTTGAGACAGGTTCTGATGATTTTTCTCTCCTGTGCTGACCACTCTCTGGAGGGATTTTTGATGAAATGCTGTGCAGCTGCCATACCACACTGAGATGCTGCTGGTCAGTCTATACTGCCTATGTACGTAGAATGTATTGAGGACAAGCGTGCGGAGGTTTGCTCCTCTCATCCGTTGCAGGAAATGCAGGTACTGCTGTGACTTCTTGACAAGGGAGGTGGTGTTTGTAGTCCATGTCAGGTGGTCCGTGAT